AACTTCCGTTTTCATTCCATACTGAATCTATCATTAATGATTTTTTCGAATTACGTTCGCTTTTTAACTACACATCGTAGAGAGCCCGGATTTATTTTATTTGCTCAATTCTATCGAGTTTATTGACCAATCGAATATTTTTGAGGCATAAAACAATGGGGGTGTTGGACATCTGGCAGAAAGTAATTCCTAGGAATTCCTAGGAATTTACGCAGTTCCTAGGAATTTTTATGTAGAGATTTACGTAGGCTCCTTGGAATTCCTAGGAAATACTAGGAATTTTGGAAAATCCTAGTAATTCCTAGGAACCTTATTTTAGGAACTAAAATTTTTAAATGATTACTATGATTTCCTAGTATATACTAGGATTTCCTAGGATAGCTCATTAAATCTTGGAGGAATTTCCTCAAAATCCTAGAAGTTCCTAAGATTCCTAAGTATATTAAATGAATTCTTAAAAGAATTTCCTTACTATCTGTAGAATTTACTAAGGATCTTAAGATTCCTAAGGATATAAAATGAATTCTTCAAGGAATTTCCTAATACTAGATCCTTAGGATCTTTACAAATTTCTAGGAATTTTAGTAAAGATATTTACTTTTATGTCCTGTTAATGTTAAGATTTTTTTTTTTTTTTTTTTTGGTTTGTATTTCATTTTATTTGTAAGTAGCCAAATGGCTGTGTTACAAAATTATATAAAATTTTAGCTACATAGTGTAATTTTTATACTATTTAATGATTTAATTATTAGCATCACAATACATCTCATAGAAACATTCTTTAATTCTAGTCTTGAATAAACTCAATGAAAAAGTGTTCTTAACTGTCTGCTCAAGTGAGTTGTACAATGACAGTCCTCTAATGAAGAAAGTCTGACTTCCTAATTGTGTATGGGTGACTGGAATGACAAAGTTTTCTCTCTTTCTTGTTCGATAATTGTGTCTTTGATAGGCTGTTTGAATATTAATATTGTTTTTAAGCATGTTAGACGCGATTTTAAAAACTTGAATGCAAACACTAATTTGACAGAGTGTATTGACTGGAAGAATTCTTATGCTATACAATTCTGATCTGCTGCAGAACCAGTTTTTATTCAATAGAATTCTTAAGGACTTTCTTTGGGCAATTTCAAGCGAGTTTAAGTTGTACTGGGCTGCTGCTGACCACACAGTATTCATATACATAAGTCGCGACTGAACATGTGCATAATAAAGAGCTATCGCTGTTTTATCGCTTAGTAATTTTCTCACTCTCTTAACTGCATATGAAAACGATATAATTTTATCTTTAATAGATTGTATGTGATCTTTAAATGAAAGCGTTTCGTCAACTAATAAGCCTAACACATTTACTCTTTCTACACGTTCTAATGTCCTACCGTTGAATTGAATATTAAGCGACGTTTCCGTAAAGTTTTCGAACTTTTTTTTATTGTGGAACAATATGTATTTAGTTTTGTCAGGATTTGGAGTGAGTTGATTAAGATTAAGCCATTTACTAATTAGATCTAAGTCATGCTCCATCATATTCTTAAGTTCTTGTGGATTATCTGCTACATTAGTTAAAGACATGTCATCGGCATATAACGCTAGTTTGCCTACAATTCCAATATTAAAGATATCGTTTATGTATAAATTAAAGAACGGGTTTGATAATATGCCTCCTTGCGGAGTGCCTGCCTTAATGATTTTGAACGAGCTTATTATATTTGATATTTTAGTGGCTTGCTTCCTATCTTCAAGATATGATATCAGTAATTTGATGAAGGTTTTATCGAATTGAAGTGATTTTAATTTATTAATGAGTATGTCATGTCTAATGGAATCGAACGCTTTTGAGAGATCAATACATGTAAGAGATACGGCTTTTTTATTGTCAATACCGTTATAAATGTCATGAAGAATATGAGCTGTCGCGACTTCAGCATTTGAATTTTTAACGAAGCCGAATTGATTGCAATTGATAATATTATTACTGTCCAAATGATCTTGTAAGCGACGTTGTATGACGTACTCAAATACTTTTCCTACAATTGGGTTAACAGTTATTGGACGATAGTTATTTTTATTTTTCCTATCACCGGTTTTATAAATTGGTGTTACAACTCCAACTTTTAGTGCGTCAGGAAAAGTGCCATCACGAAGGTTTATATTTATCAACTTGGTCAAGGAACTTGTCAATGCTTTCCCGTGCATTTTAATAAAATTATTAGACATACCGTATATATCGATCGCACTAGAGCATTTTAAGTTGTTAATTATCATGCAAATCTCATCTTCAGTAGCTAATGGGCATGTAAAGTTATGACTAATCTCATATGACAGACTGTGATTAATTGGTGGTATATTTTGGACACATATATTATTAGGTGTTACATTGGCAATGTTGATAAAGAAATTATTAAAGTGCTCAGCAATTGCACTGGGATTAGAAACTGGTATACCATTTTCAGATAAGAGTGAGCAAGGTGGATCATGAATGTGTGACTTATTATACAAAACTGAGTTGATATTTTGCCAAGTTTTTCTTGGGTCATTGAGATTTTCCGCAAATTTCCTATCGTAATAATCTTTTTTAGATTTTCTTACGAGTCGGTTGACCAAATTTCTATAATACTTAAATCTTGTTTTAATCTCGATACAGTAGGGATGTTTTGCTTTTAAATTTATGAATTTATTCCTTATCTCAATGAAGTTGCGCGTTTTACTGTCGATATATGGCTTAATACATGATAGTTGAACTTTACTTTCAGCTGTGTTATTTATTATAATCTTCTGAATTGCTAGATTAAAGTCTTCAAATGTGTTACAGTCTAAGTTTTCGAGTACTTTGGAATTAAGAATTTTTTGATTATTTACGCGTTTGTACTGAATTGTCTTAGCATTTTCATATTCATTGGATTGCCTTTGTATGCTTAAGATAATATTCTTGTGGTCGGCTATATTGTCAAACAGAAACATTTCATGAGATAACGGATTCTTGTAGAAATGGAAGTCAGTAAATATGTGATCTATGCAAGTACTCGAATTATATCTATAGTTAATACGCGTTGGATATTCATTTGAGGTGGAGTTTAGGAATGACAGCCCATTTGAGTTTACTATGTCCTTATAATTATTTACAAGAAGAGCAGATCTATCGAACAGATTAATGTTAAAGTCGCCGAAGAAATATATTTTACTGTAAGTGTTTAATAAGAGATCAAGTTTGTTCAGGAATATTCTTCCGTCTTGATCAAGAGAATTATTCGGCTGCCTGTAGCAAAGACCTACGTGAATGTCTGCTTTTGTAAGCGAGATAATTATAAAGTTATTATTGTTGGTACATTCCTCATACACAATATTTGCTGTGTCAAATTCATTAAGGACAAAGATAGAGGCACCTCCACCTATAGAGCTGGTTCTGGTAGAGTGTACGGAGTGATAATTATTAAGATTGTAATACTGTTTTTCCGATGACTTTATCCATGTCTCTACTATTAACACCACATGAATTTTATAATTTACACTAGAGATGAAACATTGTAGATCATTCAGAGAATTTCTAAGAGACTGAGCGTTTATGTATAGACAGTTAAGATTGTTTTTATATTGAATGTTGCTTGGAAGGCTATTGTGATGCTTTACATTTGGTTGTATTTCAAAATTATTGTTTATATCCATTTTTTTGTTTTAGTTATTCAAATATAATCCAAGAAAGAGAGGAAATTAAATTTTGTTGCTTTATTTAAATGTGATTTTCGATACTGAAAGTTGTGTGTGAGAGCCCTGTTAGAACAATGAGCATATGTTAATGACTTGCATTTTAGTTATAGTGACTGACTAAAAAAGTTATCTTGCTTTATTCTAATTGCTATGAGTAATAATGTAGTATCAACGATTCAACTCTTTTCTCCTCTTGACTTGTTAGTATTCGATTGGATACGGAGTTAACGAAGCATGTACACTTAACGCTTTCACGTTATTGTAATTGATAAATAGAATAGACATTTTGAATGTTTACGATCGTAACTTCATGGCAGTTTTATCGTTAAACATACGAAACATCACATTCATTGCCAACATACATATTCCCATTAAATATCATGGATTCGTCTGGTGACCTAGTGAAATCTAATGTCGCACATTGCTCGTCGCGTATAAAAGCGGACACCGACTATCGTGAGAGCCGAAATTTGCACTAGTAACGTTTTCACATTACAATGATCTCAACGTGCTTCTCATAAAGAAGCCGTATTCAAGGTGGTTCAGCGAGTATAGTTTCGAGCCAACTGCCTTGCTTCCATTTGAAAACGTGTTTAGACCATCTACGAATTACCGTTAAATTTCACGATTCCGTCTATGACCTAATGAAATCTAAGGGCGTGCTTTAAAAACGCGATATTGTCATATTAATGACTAGTGTGTATTATGTGGATGTAATTAAAGTAATATATAAGCTGTTAGCAAGTGTATGTTTGCTAATTTATGACATTATTGAAATCGAGAAACGTGACACGAACTTTTTTTTTTTTTTTTTTTTTTATTTGTTTTATAGTCAAGAGACGTTGAAATACTGATATAACATATAAAGTATGAATAAGTATGAGCAATTACCATGAGATCATTATGATGTACTATTATTATGCAAGATTTCTCTCATTAGATCTAAAAAGTATCTCGATATTATCATACAGAGACAAGAAAACGTAGGGCGTTTTGTAACGTCTCTTTAGAATTCGAATTTTGCTATTAGATACATTTTAGTACAAGTACTAACACTTTGTTTTGATTTTTGATTCTGTGTGATCTTTTTGGCAGATTAAATTATTGATTGAGTGAATTCGAAAGCAAAATCAGGCAGACTAACGGACTTATCTCTACTGATGGTGACAGGACTATCAACAGAACTTTCAGGATCGTTCTATTTTCGAAAATTAATTGCTGAATAATATTTTTATGTTTTTTTTTCTTTTTCTTTTAGGCGATTTAATGTACTTTATTATTTAGAGGAAACTCACAGATTATTCCATTGGAAATTGGATGTTATTAGAGCTGAATAGATCCGTGAGCTGCTCAATATCGTTGATTTGAACAGGCTTCTTGTCTTTGATTCGGATTCTCATAGTTCCATTCGATATCCAGACACCTTCAATTGATGGATTTTTTTTCTTTGCGTTCCTTGCCTTGTTGAATAGTTCCCGGTTGATAGAAGTCATTGGTGTACGGAATTCGATAGCATTAGCTCTGTTGACGTCGGAATCTTGAAGAGTGAATATATTTTCATTGAGGATAGGAATGTACTTCTTATTGACATCGCGTTGCTTAGTTTTCAGGAAGTTGAGAAACTTCTTTTTATCATTCATCGTATTGAAGTGTAAATGAGCAGATTTAGACTTATATTTCGCATTCGATGAAAAATTATGGCTCATGAGTGTCTCTTTGATGATGTTGTTACTCCATTTGTTCATGTCCTCAAGAAATTTCTCCTCTTTTATAGTTGATGCTATATTGACCATTGTGATTTCTTTCTCAAGCATCATTTGATTTATGGCATTCAATTGGCTATCATGGTTCTTAATTTTTTTTTGGATCTCTACGTTGTCTACTTCGAGATTTATTATTTCTCCTCTCACATCTTCAAGATCTTTCTTAACTTGATTAACATCAGCTATCATTGTGTCAACTTTGCTGTCAAAGTGTCTGTTCCACTCATCCATTTTCTGGCTCATCGATGTCATTTGTCCTCTCATTTCTTCCATGAATAATTTAAGATCCTTTTCGACATTTGACATACTGCTGCACTTCTTTTTTGGACTTGTCTGTTCTTCAGTTGGCGATAATTCCCAGTGCTTTCTTGCGGTCAGTTTTGGTGTTTGATTTGCTTTAGGAATCAGAGACTGTGTACTTTCTATGATAGGAGATTCAGGCATAATAAGAGATGAGCTTTTTGAGGTTTATCAATGTTTGGAGCTCAATTATTTCAGGACACTTTCCGGCGTTTATAGCTCAAATTTCCACTTAGTCTTAATGAAAACGCAACTTGGTGGTACTTATGATGTTCTTGGACAATATATTGAATTTTATTTAGTTAAAATGACATAGTTATAATTAAAAAATACTTTTTCTTGACATGCACTTTCGTAGCTATTTATATTTTTTCTTTGCAATAAACTAACGAGTGCCTATTAAAAAATTGGAGAAAGTCCTGGTGTTATATATTGTTTATGCTTCAAAAATATTCGATCGGTCAATAACTCGAAAGAACTGAGCTGATTAAACAAACCCGAGCATGGTTAAAAAGTTTTTCTTCGCCCGATCAGCCGAACAACCGAACAAAGTGTACCAATAAGCTACCTTTAAGAAACAAGTTTGAAAAATGCGGTAAAATTTTTTAATTAGGAAATTCCTACGTATTCCTTGTAAAATCTTACGTAAAGTAACAGAAATTCCTAGGAATTACTTTCTGCCAGATGACCATGAGCCAAACAATGGCTTTGTGCTATCATTAATGATTTTTTACTTCATATGAAAAATACTTGATGAGTGCGTTTGAAAATTTGCACCAAATTACCTGAAACTTGGTATACAAGTCTAGTTTAATGTGGCTAGGTACTTTGTTTTGTTATATTATGGGTCATGCAATTGTACAGAGTTGCAGAAATCAACCGTACGTAAGGACATGACCATTCAAGTTATTTTGGATGTCAAAAAAAAAAAAAAAAAAATCATAGATCAAGATACATTAAGTATTATTGAAATGTATTAATAAAACTAGTGTATCGGGTAGAAACCCAATATGGATATATATACACCGTACCATCAAAAGTCTTATGGATAGACCAAGATTTGCTCACCATAAGTTTGAAGGGTGGGCGTGAAGTACGGCCGAGACCCATATCGACACAGTTCAAAAGTTATACCTAATTTATGTCATAATTATGTCAGCTTCAAAAACACTTAGTTTGAATTTTACTTCACACTTATTTGAACCACATTTTCTCGTAAATGTTAAAATATTATTAAAAAGTAATTAATCCTGAATTATGTCGCTATTTTGTCAAGAGTTTTAAGATAAAGAATTTGTTTTTTGGTTTCCACAGTGAAGAGTATGAACAAAATTCAGATGGGGTAGTCGAAATTTTAGATTTCGTTTTTTAAAGCTATACATTACAAAAAAAAAAAATGGTATGTGATTTATGTCAGAATTATGTCAATTCAAATAAAACATCCAAAAAATTTTTTTGACAAAAGTACACCATAGAAAATCAATTTTCAATTTTGGACTAGGGGCGGCCCTAGTCAAAATCAATTTTGTCACTTTTTTTCTTCGAGGGTTTATACAAATGGATTGAAACTTTGCATAAATATTCTAATGCTTAAAACAAATACAAATAAAACATCTTAAAATTTTTCTGAGCAAAGAACCAAGTAGGAAATACATTTTCAATTTTGGACTAGGGGCGACCCTAGTCAAAATTAATTTTCTCACTTTTTTTCTTCGAGGATTTATACAAATGGATTGAAACTTTGCATAAATATTCAAGTGCTTAAAACAAATACAAATAAAACATTCAAAAAATTTTTTGAGCAAAGAAACAAGTAGGAAATACATTTTCAATTTTGGACTAGGGGCGACTAGTCATAATCAATTTTGTCACTTTTTTCTTCGAGGTTTTATAAAAATGGATTAAAACTTTGCATAAATATTCAATTGCTTAAAACAAATACAAATAAAACATTCAAAAAATTTTTTGAGCAAAGAACCAAGAAGGAAATACATTTTCAATTTTGGACTAGGGGCGACCCTAGTCAAAATCAATTTTCTCACTTTTTTCTTCGGGGTTTTATAAAAAAAAAACTTTGCATAAATATTAATATGCTTAAAACAAATACAAATAAAACATCCTCAAATTATTTTGAGCAAAGAACCAAGTAGGAAATACATTTTCAATTTTGGACTAGGGGCGACCCTAGTCAAAATCAATTTTCTCACTATTTTCTTCGAGGTTTTATAAAAATGGATTGAAACTTTGCATAAATATTAATGTGCTAAAAAAAAATACAAATAAAACATCTAAAAAATTTTTTGAGCAAAGAACCAAGAAGGAAATACATTTTCAATTTGGACTAGGGTCGACCCTAGTCAAAATCAATTTTCTCACTTTTTTCTTCGAGGTTTTATAAAAATGGATTGAAACTATGCATAAATATTAATGTGCTTAAAACAAATACAAATAAAACATTCAAAAATTTTTTGACCAAAGAACCAAGAAGGAAATACATTTTCAATTTGGACTAGGGGCGACCCTAGTCAAAATCAATTTTATCACTTTTTTTCTTCGAGGGTTTATACAAATGGAATGAAACTATGCATAAATATTCTAGTGCTTAAAACAAATACAAATTAAAAATCCTAAAATTTTTTTGAGCAAAGAACCAAGAAGGAAATACATTTTCAATTTTGGACTAGGGGCGACCCTAGTCAAAACCAATTTTGTCACTTTTTTCTTCGAAGGTTTATCCAAATGAATTGAAACTTTGCATAAATATTCAAGTGCTTAAAAAAAATACAAATAAAACATTCAAAAATTTTTTTGAGCAAAGAACCAAGAAGGAAAAACATTTTCAATTTTGGACTAGGGGCGACCCTAGTCAAAATCAATTTTCTCACTTTTTTTCTTCGAGGATTTATACAAATGGATTGAAACTATGCATAAATATTCTTGTGCTTAAAACAAATACAAATTAAACATCCTAAAATTTTTTTGAGCAAAGAATCAAGAAGGAAATACATTTTCAATTTGGACTAGGGTCGACCTTAGTCAAAATCAATTTTCTTACTTTTTTCTTCGAGGATTTATACAAATGGATTGAAACTATGCATAAATATTCTGGTGCTTAAAACAAATACAAATTAAACATCCTAAAATTTTTTTGAGCAAAGAACCAAGAAGGAAATACATTTTCAATTTTGGACTAGGGGCGACCCTAGTCAAAATCAATTTTCTCACTTTTTTCTTCGAGGTTTTATAAAAATGGATTGTAACTTTGCATAAATATTAATATGCTTAAAACAAATACAAATAAAACATCCTCAAATTATTTTGAGCAAAGAACCAAGTAGGAAATACATTTTCAATTTTGGACTAGGGGCGACCCTAGTCAAAATCAATTTTCTCACTTTTTCCTTCGAGGTTTTATAAAAATGGATTGAAACTATGCATAAATATTAATGTGCTTAAAACAAATACAAATAAAACATTCAAAAATTTTTTGACCAAAGAACCAAGAAGGAAATACATTTTCAATTTGGACTAGGGGCGACCCTAGTCAAAATCAATATTGTCACTTTTTTTCTTCGAGGGTTTATACAAATGGAATGAAACTATGCATAAATATTCTAGTGCTTAAAACAAATACAAATTAAACATCCTAAAATTTTTTTGAGCAAAGAACCAAGAAGGAAATACATTTTCAATTTTGGACTAGGGGCGACCCTAATAAAACCAATTTTGTCACTTTTTTCTTCGAGGGTTTATCCAAATGAATTGAAGCTTTGCATAAATATTCAAGTGCTTAAAAAAAATACAAATAAAACATTCAAAAATTTTTTTGAGCAAAGAACCAAGAAGGAAAAACATTTTCAATTTTGGACTAATGGGGACCCTAGTCAAAATCAATTTTCTCACTTTTTTTCTTCGAGGATTTATACAAATGGATTGAAACTATGCATAAATATTCTTGTGCTTAAAACAAATACAAATTAAACATCTTAAAATTTTTTTGAGCAAAGAATCAAGAAGGAAATACATTTTCAATTTTGGACTAGGGGCGACCCTAGTCAAAATCAATTTTCTCACTTTTTTCTTCGAGGTTTTATAAAAATGGATTGAAACTTTGCATAAATATTAATGTGCTTAAAATAAATACAAATTAAACATCCTAAAATTTTTTTGAGCAAAGAACCAAGAAGGAAATACATTTTCAATTTTGGACTAGGGGCGACCCTAGTCAAAATCAATTTTCTCACTTTTTTCTTCGAGGTTTTATAAAAATGGATTGAAACTTTGCATAAATATGAATGTGCTTAAAACAAATACAAATAAAACATCCTAAAATTTTTTTGAGCAAAGAATCAAGAAAAAAATACATTTTCAATTTGGACTAGGGTCGACCCTAGTCAAAATCAATTTTCTTACTTTTTTCTTCGAGGTTTTATAAAAATGGATTGAAACTTTGCATAAATATTAATGTGCATAAAACAAATACAAATAAAACATTCAAAAATTTTTTTGAGCAAAAAACCAAGAAGGAAATACATTTTCAATTTTGGACTAGGGGCGACCCTAGTCAAAATCAATTTTCTCACTTTTTTTCTTCGAGGGTTTATACAAATGGATTGAAACTATGCATAAATATTTTAATGCTTAAAACAAATACAAATAAAGCATCCTAAAATTTTTTTGAGCAAAGAACCAAGTAGGAAATACATTTTCAATTTTGGACTAGGGGCGACCCTAGTAAAAATCAATTTTCTCACTTTTTTTCTTCGAGGGTTTATACAAATGGATTGAAACTATGCATAAATATTCTAGTGCTTAAAACAAATACAAATAAAACATCCTAAAAATTTTTGAGCAAAGAACCAAGTAGGAAATACATTTTCAATTTTGTACTAGGGGCGACCCTAGTCAAAATCAATTTTGTCACTTTTTTTCTTCGAGGTTTTATACAAATGGATTGAAACTATGCATAAATATTCTAGTGCTTAAAACAAATACAAATAAAGCATCCTAAAATTTTTTTGAGCAAAGAACCAAGTAGGAAATACATTTTCAATTTTGGACTAGGGGCGACCCTAGTCAAAATCAATTTTGTCACTTTTTTTCTTCGAGGGTTTATACAAATGGATTGAAACTATACATAAATA